TAGGAACACATAGATGCGTGTGGTAGGAACACATAGATGCGTGTGGTAGGAACACATAGATGCATGTGGTAGGAACACATAGATCTAGCCTTGGTACCCTCATAAACTTCATCACAGTGCCCACATTGTGGGAGACAGGACATGCACAGCTCACCATCCAAATGCTTTGCCACTGAGTGCTAAATCTTCTGACTTGTTTTCCACAGTTTGTAGACTTTAGCCAACAGCTTGTGCAGCCATGTTCTGTATACACCATGCTGTCTCCCAGCCTGTGTAGGACAGGGCCGTGACAGCCCTGTTCTCAGTCTAGCTGTTGGACCTGAAGCATCCCTCTGGACGGCCCCTCTTATCCCTGTTCTCAGAATAGCTTGCTGAGCAGACGCAGTTGTCAAGGCCGGTTGTCTCTACTGTTCGGGTGTCGGGGCAGCCAGGACTCCCCAAAGACCAATAACAGTGCCTTTGATCCCTGTTCCTGAGATCCCATGCCAGCCTAGAGTGGCAGCTGGGAGAACATGGGGAGGGAAGAAGAAAGGCGAGTGTTGGTAGCCACGTTTGCCATGTTGGGCTTTGCTGTTTTATCTGTAAGTCACAAAGTTGCCTTCTGTGAGCCTGAGGTGGTTCCTAGGCAGCCTCTGAACTGTATATAAAGAAGGAACTCACCAATCAGGCCTTTAACTAAACTAACCTTGAGAGGGACAGCTGCTCAGGAGCTATGGCCTGCAGCTGCTGGGCACTGTGTGTGGCGAAGGACAGGTGTAGGCCCCTGGACCTAAGCTGTACCCTTCACAGCTCTTCACAGAGTGGGTACTCGATACCAAAGGCCCCGTTGCTGCGGCAGCTGGTGACAGACAGCCCTTATGAGGTAGCTTTATTCTCAAGACCACAGGATTCCAGGTCTTCTCTCCCCGGTGACCCTGCTGCTGGTGGGGTCACACCCCATTTTTAATAGGTCTTGTGCCTTGTGCTTCCTGGGACTGCAACCATCTGCCCTCAGGAGCCATTCCCATAATGCTTTCTGTGAGGGGCCACTGAGTTTCCTTGATTCCTTAAATCTTGTGTTTCTCCTAGGCTCATGTCAGAAAACCCTTCAAGAAGTCCAAAGGTTGAGGTTTCCATTGTAGAAATTTATAACAACAACATTTTTGACCTTCTGGCCAAAGATGGTTCTGCAGTCATGTCTGGGGCTAAGTGCCAGGCAGTGACAACCCAGGAGGGACGTTCAGAAGTACCCAAGCTGACCTGCAGGTGAGTTTCTTATGGGGCCCAGCACCCCGACAAGATAGGTCCTTAACCTTACAGCAGTGCACTCCCAGCCCTGCGTGGAATGGAGCCAGTGCTGCCGACCTAGGAAGTCGTTCATGGAGTGTGCCGCAGGTGTGCTGCACAGGTTCAAAGCTCGGCAGTTTTATTCTCAGGTAAAGTCTTCACCACTGAGCTAATATCCTTAGCCTTCCTCACTTTTTAGATAAAGGGTGTCACTCAGTTGCCCGAGCTGACCTTGGACTCACTCTGCAGACGAGGCTAGCCTTGAACTCACTGTATAGACCAGGCTAGTTTTGAACTCATGGTATAGGCCAGGCTAGCCGTGAACTCACTGTGTAGACCAGGCTAGCCTTGAATTCACTGTATAGACCAGGCTAGCCTTGAACTACTTGAAGTAGGATCCCAAGCCCCTACTGTATTTGCAGAGTGTTTGTGATTACAGGTCTATCTCTCCAGGTCTGCCAATCTGTGTTGAACTTGACACACTTAGTTCACATTGTCTGTTGGCTGAGTAAGTTTAGGCTAACCTGTGCACAGAGCAGCTTTCTCTCCCCACATCAGCCTGGGGTGTCCTCTGCCAGGTCTGTCACCAGTGCTGTGGAGTTTGTGGGGCTCATTCACAGAGGCGTGAAACTCAGAGTGCAACACCCCACCCTGGTACACCAGAACTCTTCCCGATCTCACCTGGTTGTCACGGCAACACTGACCACAGCTTCCTCCTTGGGCAGCACTGGTAAGTTGACACTTGTGCCAGGTCAGTTCAAGGTATAGCAGTCACTCCCGGAAAACCACCGTGGTGCCTCTCTTGGTATCGCTCAGGACCAAGTGAGCATTGCACTGAGCGTCGGTTGTCTAGCGTATAACACACCCCCACACACATATGAAGACAAAGCCCACATTGTAAAAAGCCAGTGACTGCTAAGGCAGCAGCTTAGGGGTCGGCCACCTGAGTCATGCAGAGTTTGACCATATGAGACTCACCCCAGCAGCTAAATACAGTATGCCCGTGGCCTCGCATGCCATGCTAGACAGTTATTGCTCTGAGCACCCTACATACACCGCAGGATTGCAGAGCCCTGGGCACGGCAGGTCACACTGAAGGCTGGTTCTCATTCACATGGAAGGTTAGTGTAGACAGACATTCTCCATCTTGGATTCTGCCAGGGAAGAGACTGGCAAGGGTAGTGTAATCTATTAGATCTAAGTAACAGCCCAGCTACAATTAGCCACAGCCATCTGCAGGACCTGACCACTGTGGGGCTTGGACAGCCCCTGCCTCATGATGCTGAGAGAGCCCCAGCTATCTGCCAAAGCATTCCCAGACACCATGCCATCGGCCGTCCTCTAGGTAATGAAACCACCTGTGGTTTCTGCTTTCTTTTTTGACAAAAGAAGGCTTGTTTTCTGTTTTGCACAACAAGGACAGATTGATTAAGCCTAAAACAAAAGTGTTTCTAAGAGACATGTTTGGGAACAGCACACAGCAAGATGGATGGATACCTCAAGATGAGGAAGCCCTTTGTAGAGTTTGCAAGAGCTTATTGAGCAAGGACAGCGGCTTGGTCTGAGGACTTAGTTCACACCACTGCCAGCATTGTTCCAATACTATTGTTCCAATAGCATTGTTCAGTGTTGGGGGCACAGAGGCCTTTGTCCCCCCCCAGAGGGGCAGGGACTGCCACTCTACTTCTTAACTCTGTATCCACAAGTGAGCAAGAAGTCTGGTCTGAAGGGCAGACTCGCAGCTCTCACACTGACAGAAGGCTGGGCAGACCCTTGTGAATTTTCTGCTTGTTGTTCTCCTTGCCCCAGCCCCACGGTCCAGCCAGGCTTCCCTCCAGAAGAAAGCAGGGGCAGGGAGCTGGTGGACTGCCCGTCCCCAGGCTTCATCTCCGCACACCGTTCCAGTGGACTCTGCAGACCAAGCTGAGCAGGTGCTGGCCAAGCTGCAGCTTGTGGATTTGGCCGGCAGTGAGTGTGCAGGTGAGCAGGGACCAGAACTGCCCTGGGGTGAATGTCAGCTTCAGCAATGGGCAGCACAGGAGTAGACTGTGAGCGGGCGCAGAAGGCTGTGTTAACCCTTGTTACCTTCTGATGGGCCAGAAGCTAAGCCCTTCACGCTGCAGTTCCTAGAGGAACTGCTATCAACAGTTACCCAAATGGGGAACTCATCTCAATGGCCGACAGGCCATGGTACCTTCCCCAGAAACTGGGCAGGTTGCACGGTGCCTCCCAAGGACCACCCTGCTTGCCTGGCTCCTGTCCTGAGTCCATGCTCACAGGATGCTGGTTTCCACACTCTCCAGCAGTGTCGGGGGTGACTGGTTTGGCACTGAAGGAGGCCTCCTTCATCAACCGGAGTCTGGCTGCCCTCGCAGATGTCCTTGGAGCCCTGTCAGAGCACTGTGACCACATCCCTTATCGGAACAGCAAGCTCACGCACCTGCTCCAAGATTCCATCGGTTCGTTTTCCTGAGAGGCTTCAAAGCAGAGGGGACAGAGAGCCACGCCTTAGGGAGCATTCCTAGCCCTGCTTGTCCCTTTGCCCAAGACATACAGCCTTTGGCAAAGTTACGGCTCTGCCAGGCCCCTGCCGTGTCCTGTCCTCAGTGTGTCTTCAGACTTTTAGTCACCGTGGCTGGCACTATGCGGTAGCTATGCTGCAGGGTGGCCCGAACAGCGGGCTTTCCTCTGTCTTTTCACCCAGACTAGAGAGTTCTTCAGGGGGACTGTCAGCATCAATCTCTTCATTGTGGCAGGCACAGTCCGTGACTGGGTCTCTAAGCTATGGAGATAGGGCCCCACTGAGGGATGAATGCCCTTCAGTGGCTTCCAACACAGAACCTTGCTGACTTTTACCTCTTGTTTGCTAGGATATGATCCCTGCTCAAAGTGTGGGCAGACTTTCTCCATGCCCATGGTTCCTGCTCAGAGTGTGGGCAGACTTTCTCCATGCCCCTGGTCCCTGCTCAGAGTGTGGGCAGACTTTCTCCATGCCC